CGTTAGAGTTGGGGAAGTCGCCAGTTTTACTTCGAAAATGGTACATAATAAAACTAGTTCCTCTTTCAGTCTCGCAAATACATATAAAGGTCAGACTTGTAACTCACAAATTATTAAAATAAAATATTTGTTTGTTCACCTGAACGACAATTTATGTAGACAATAGGCTAAACGTCCGGGTCAGTGACCCTGAAGGCTCTGGCACTGCCACACCCAATTATAAACTGTGAGCTAGAGAGAGATGGCAACCGGTCGACAGTACCCGCCGCCTGAAACAGCTATTATTAATTGAATAGCAAGACAGACTGCCATTCTTATAGCTCATCTACAGCTAAAAATGCTCAGATTGTTGGTCGGCCTCGTCTAGAACCCAAGACCAATACACTAATGACTAGGCCGCGCTTGGTCCAAATTCAAGTATGTTTCTGCCTTACAGCTTAAAATGTCACTCATTTTAAAGCTCACGTGATTTTAAATATGTAAAGAATAAGAATCAAAGCAGTTCACATATTTCAGACTCAGTAAAACTCAGAAAGGAATGTCACTCGGTGGGTCAGCGGTGAGTTTAAATATTTTTAAACGCTAAATCTGAAATAAAAAGAGCGCAGATAGCCTATTCTATAGCTTTGTATCTAAACAAACATAAAGGAATAATATTATTATAATCAGTAATTTTTAATGTACTACCAGCCATACATATAAAATAACCAAGACAGCCATATTGATAGAACATCCGTTATATAATGCACTAACAAATAAATAAAAACAACTAATAAATATTTATTTATGAATAGGCTTAAGAGAAATCAAACGCGACTCGTCGTGACGTCAGCTTGGTCCTGAACCATTACTGAAACCATAAAGTTTGTTTCATTTATCACAATCCAGACTTTCACTAAGCATGAAAAAAAAAAGGCCCTGGATTATATAGGACTAATTTATCCTTGTAACAATATGAGAACAAAAAACTTTCATATTTTTTGAAAATTAACCCATCTCTTAGAGTAAACTAAAAACCCCACTGGCCTAACTTATAACTCCAATATTAAATCAATATCATTTCAACCATCATCTTACTTGTTTAGATTTTGATTGTAAGAGAAGATTTTTTTTCTAATTTACAGACCTCAAAGCACCTAGAAAATTCGATCAACAGTTTTTATTTCTGTTCCCATTTTAAAGGTTTTAATATTACGTTGAGGTTAGGGTGTATATTACTTGTTTGACATGAACAGCCTAATTTACAACAGTTTTACATTTCATCTTATGTCGTTCTTCGGTAAATTCACAGACTTAAAACGCCAAAATAGATACCCCATCGTAGAAAGCACAGAAAGATAATTTAAAGAATTTAAAAATCTCTGACAAATGGTCAAAATAAAAAGATTTAGTTATATATCTTAGTAGTATAAATATTGTTACGTCTCTGGTCGATTGTTATTTTCCCGTAAAAATTTCTTTCCGATGAAACTTTAGCGACACAAGTCCTTTCTTAAATAAAACTAGTTTATTCTTTCTAAGTTCAACTTTGCAATACACTTAATTTCCACAGCCAATTTAACTTAACTAATTTTATAAAAACACGTTATAAATCACAGGGAACGATTCACGCACTTACTTGCTATCACGCTTGACTCAATTGTCCGTCATTGTCTGTGTGCAATTCTATCCCGATTAATTGTCTGGCGCACTTATATACAAGAATAGAGGGCGTCTAGCAAATACTGAATTATTCGTGATGTTCCCCGATCTTTCTAGAACGCATTAAGTGTTACCAGAGTCACGTGACTTCCGCTGTTGTAACACTGCCCCTTCCTTAGTATTGTTCTTCCCGAGCAATAGCCACTTACATTAAACCAATAGATAATTAACAATAACTTAATTAAATGTACAGAATTTACAAACACAAAATTAAAATACAACAAAGTCTCTTAATTTTACGGAACATATCTTCTTCCGTACTGGCTTCTGCTTCACGTGAGGTTCATCTGCTCCATCGGGAATTGTCCTATTATCGGTAACAGTCAAATCAGTAGTAGAAACTTCATCAAGGGCTTCACTGTTTCCTTTCTCAAAACCGGGTAGAGTTTCTTCTTCAACAGTGGCTTTTTTAGGTGACACGTCTTCAGCAGCGTCATTTGTTCCATTGTTCACTTCATTCCAACTGAAATGTCCTGGACCGTGATAATGCCAAAGCCTGTTGGCATGCACCACCCTTGGCTTACCTCGCCGACCACATTTTATCCGGAAAGTCACGTCTGAAAGACGATCCACTATGTCATATGGGCCTTCCAATCGAGATGACAACTTAGGAGACTTCCCTTTGGTCTTCCTGGGATTGTACAACCACACCTTGTCTCCTGGTACAAAGCTGACTTCAGTAGATCTCTTATCATAAGATAACTTCATTGAATCAGCAGACGTTTTCAAGTTTGAATGCACTTGATGGTGAATACTATCCAACCTTTCCGAAAACACTTTCACGAATTCTGACACATAAGGTGGGCGTCCTGTTAACAGATCCACTGGCAACCGAAGTTCCCGACCAAACATCAACTTTGCTGGAGTGTATCCAGTGGCTTCATGCTCTGCTGTCCTATAGGCCATTAACAGTGGAGGGAGTAAGACATCCGAGTCATTTTGGCGGCTATTACAAAGCTTTGCCAATTCTTATCCAAGTGTCCAGTTGTACTTTTCTACCATTCCATCAGACTGTGGGTGAAAGGGCGTTGATCTGGTCTTTCGTATGCCAAACACCTTGCAGCATTCATGGAACACAGCTGATTCAAAGTTATGGCCTTGATCTGAATGCAGTTCGTATGGCATACCAAATCTCAAAAAGAAATCACTAACAGCCGAAGCTACAGTTGTAGCTTCCTGATTTGGTATTGCATATGTCTCAGGCCACTTGGTGAAATAATCCATCACCACACAAATGTACCTGTTTCCAACACGAGTTTGGGGCAAAGGACCAGCAATGTCAATGGCTACTCTTTCCATTGGTGTGCTAACTTGATATAACTTCATTGGAGCATGTCCCTTATGCTTAGGTCCCCCTTTTAGCACAAAATGTACTGCACGTCCTGCACCATTCTTCCACATCTTGTCTCATACCTATCCAGTAAAACATCTGTTGTGGGTGACTCAATGTCTA